GAATATCACAGAGGCTTTCACAGAGACCTGTGAAGATCAGATAAAGTCATTCTTCAGATTCTTCTTCACATAGATTCACAAGATCTCTGTCTCATGATGAGAGAGCTTATAGATTGATTCTCAGAAGAGTTTCTACTCTTCTATTAAATCTATTATCAGATTCTTCTTACAGTGAGAAGAAAGCTCAGCTGCCTTAACTGAGCTGAACACTTCTGCAAGATCTCAGTATTTCTCTGATATCTGAAGCTCAGTTTCTATGATTACAAGATTCTCAGACACTTGTAAAGTTATTATATAGATGAACTTATCTTCTCTAATTAACTCTGCAGTATCAACTGCTTCTATCTTCATAAGTGAGTCTGTTAACACTGATCAGAAGTATAAACCTGACTTGTAGACAGCTATATGCAGATTGTGTCTTTAAAGTTATATAAGTCTTAAATACATATTATCTGTGATGTCTGTGATAATCACAGTTTTTATAAATCTTTTCCAGGTTTCAGAGAGATCTTATAATTCAAAGATGACTCTTACAAGTCTCTCAGTTCTCAGATCTGAGTTCTTACACTCTGCTTATTACAAGAGCAGATTCTCAGTCTTCATCTTTCAGCTCATTCACTTTACAAGCTTTAGAGACATCACAGTGACCTGGGATTCTGAGTTCATCAATACTTCTCATGCTTGCAGAGCAGCAGTACTGCAGCATGATCTCTTCTCACAAGCAAGTATTTTCATTGAGAGAGCAACAGATTCAGGTGTCAGCTTCAAGACTCTTAAGAAGGCTGTTACTGACTCTGTCTGTGACTTCTCAAATTTCTATTTTAATTTATTCAGACAGTTTGTACAGAGATGTTCTGATTTAGAATAGATAAAGCAGAGTTTCTTTTTCTTAATCTCTCTGTTATACACTCTGTTCACAGAAGCTTATAAAGCTCTCTCTCTCTGCTCAGTAGTCAGACACAAATCTCTCTATATCTTGTCATCTTTTTCTGATAAACCTGTTCTCTGTTATTCTGACTCTTATGAGACTGATCAATGATTCACTCTCTACAGGTTTGTGACTCTTACAGTGATCTATAAGTGATGAATAAGAGTCATCAGTTTCTTCAGAGTTAAGAACTTAGAGTCTTATTTAATGAGCTTATTCTGTATATCTTTATTCAGTCTCTTCATGAATATTATTATTCAGGTCTTGTTTCAGGGCTCTGTTTTCACAGATCTCAATTCACATCATAATTTTATAAAGCACTGTGAGTAGTCTTCATCAGATTTCTCACCTCTTTTTCTAATATTAGTGATTACAGCTCAGATATTCTCTGTTCAGCTTACAGAGTTTCTTAACTTATTCTCTAAATAGATCTTGAGAACAGATCATCAGAATCTCTTATAATCATTCTCTAGATAATTCAGCCAGTTCTTGACTTCAGTGTAATAGAGATCTGTCATTGTATAGATGACAGCTTCTTCATCTTTCATATCACACAGCTGAGCTTGTAAGTCAATTTCAAATACAAACTTGTAAAAGCTTTTATAGATTGTGATTTAATAGATGATCTTAAGTGATCACAGCTTGAGAAAGTTTCTTTTTGATTCACAGGTGTCTCTGAAGATTATGTCTAGAGACTTAATTCAAGAGTGTTTACAGACAGTAAGCATTTCTTGTAGAAAAATAGCTTGATTCTGTAAGAGATGCTCAAGAATATTCTTCACTGAGATTGATTCATTCATGGATTCAGAGGGTTTCTCTGTCATAGATGCAGAGAATGATGTTTTATAAGTAATTGATAAGTTCTCTGAGACTTCTTTCACAGAGATTATTCATGATTCAGATGACTGCTTCTGAGTGTCTACAGTAGGGTTCACAGAAGTTAAAGCATGTGAGTTTCTAGTTCTTTCAGTCATAACAGATGATTGCTGACTGACTGAGCTTGAAATGTAAGAATAAGTGCTTACAGGTGATTATTCAGGTGTTTGCAGCTTGACATGATATGTACTGTTAACTACTAGAAGTGTTCATGATAGAAAGATAAATATAGAAGTCAAGTGTATAATAGCATTCAAGCTGAGTTATAAATAGTATTCGCGAACTCCAGTCTATATAGTTGTGTGTAGCCAAGGGCCGCTAGCCCTATTGGTTACACAAGAGATAGGAATAGGGGTAAAGAATCCGCGAGGAGCGGGATTTCTTACACCATGTCAAGATAACAAGAACATAGGAAATACAAAGAAGTGACAATTAGATACATACAATAATAACTTCCCAGCCCAGAAACATAGAGTGATTTTATTGAAGTGATTTGTACATCTCTGTATTTATTAGAAACCTGAGGTGCTTGAGTTTCAGATTTAATATATTCCCTGCAGATTTCGAACTCACATGCCTTGATTTCCCACGCCAAGGTGCTACTGAGTGGCCGTATTAACTATTCAGCTACCGGGGTCATTTCACTTGTTTAAACAAGATTCTTTTATCTTTCTCTTTATAAAAGACTAGAACACTGTTTTTTGAATAGATCTACTTAATTCTGAATCTTTTTTTACAGCTGAATCAGTCAATTCATTATCATGAATATTTATATAAGTAGAAACTCAATGCAGATAAATTATCAGCTTTGATATTCTTCTCTTTTAAATTTTTAAAACAGAGTTTAAGATCAGTTCAAGATTCATTTGATTATTATAAATCTGACTATTTTGAAGTCTTTTTAAAGCAGCTTAACTATCAGAGAATATTTATATCTCTTTCAAACTATTTTCTTTTTTATAAGATTTTATTTCAATGAGTTTGAAAGCTTTCACTATTATAAATAGTTCAGTGTCAAAGACTTCAGATTCACAGTCTAAATTTCAGAAATCTGAGATAAAATTAATATTATCTTCAGTATAAGCAATGTCTGTGTCTAATCTATTCAAATTCTCATTTTTTAAGTCATCTGAATAAATCAGAATAAAGTCTTTTATATTAATTATAGAAATTCTCTTCAAATACTATTCATATTCTTTCTCTTTAGATAGTTCACTTATTTATAAGTTTATAAGAGATTCAAGCTTTTCTCTTCAGAGAGATAACTTCTTATAATCAACTTTTTCAACATTTAAAGAAGAAAGTTGATTTTTAATTAGTAAGTATAATCTGTACAGTTGAGAAGACATTTTCTTTAAAGAATTATTTTCATTTTAATCAAGAAATCTATTTTAATTCAGTTTATTTTCAGAGTTAATTAATAGAAATAAAGAAGAGACTCTTTCTCTGATTATATAATTTAAGCTTATCTTTATAACTCTCAGAGCATAGTTTATACAGGCCTTTTCAAATCTAATAGTAGAAGAGAGAATTAAAGCTTCAATTTTCATTGCTTTAATAGAAGATGATTTAAATGTTTTCAGAATTCTTCTCAAAGCTCTGTTTTACAGACTTTGAAAGAGTTCAGTGAAATTTTCTTGATTATTTTATTAAACTTAAACTTCATAATCAGCTACTGAGATAATACAGGCTATATATAACTATCTCATAGTCTGAAAGAATAGATCTCTCTCTGTATTTAATAGTCTGATAATGTTATTCAAAAGTCTTTCTATCTTGACAGTTCTTTATTAAATATAATATTTAAAATTCAACTTGAAGTTTAATCATACTTCTAATCATTTTATATTTAAACTGAGTTTAATCTCTCTATTTAAAAGAGTTAAGAATAGTTCTTTCTCATTGAATCTAGAAAAGAAATGAATTAACTCAGTTTTATTCATATTAAATTAAATTTGATTGATATCTGCTCTGACAAAGATTTTCTTTACAGCTTCTTCAATCACTTTCAAATTCTCTTTGACAATTGCCTTCAAAATATTTTGACACTCTGACTATGTATAGTTGATTGAATTGAGATGTTGCATTGAGATTCCAGGTACTTTTTCAATAAGAATTAACCGAATAGATCGCGAAATTCTTTTATTTGAAATTGGCAGTTCAAGTGTAAACGACTCATAATATCTTGAAATGATAGTTCCTTCAAGTGGATAAAGCAGTCGGTAGGCTGCGGTTTCATGAGAATATGCTAGGTCTGTATAGTGAAAAGAATCCACATCATCTTGTTCATGGTCAAAGTAAAGGGGATCGTAGAGCTTAGCGACTAGATACTTATCAGTTGGTATTGAGTCTGATATATCTAGAGTCTTATTGATCATGTGAACAGTAACAAGTTGAGCACTGTGTTGATCTCCTATTCTAATAGGTTCAACAACCTTTAGTCGAATAGTGCTCTTTCCAGTCAACCCAGGCAATGGAGGATGAAGTATGCAACGATCCACAGAATGCATAGTTTCCCTCTCCCGATGCCCCTCATATGATAGGACAATCTCACATGTTGCAGGAGAAGAAGAAGTATGAGAGTGGATGCAAAATTCTTGCCCAGGAAAGTAAGGTAATGGTGGCTTGGGCTTGTTGTATCTAGAACAGTAGGAAGCACTCAGCTGATAAGTCATGGTTGCAAGATTGGAAAATAGAAGGTCTGAGAAAAGTAGAAGTTGCCGTTGTTGAAACATCAAAGTTGAACAGCTCGCACTAATATTTCCAACCCACTAGTTAGTCCTAGACTAACCGGATTGGGGCACTAGGCAAAGGCAACTGGGGAAGAACTGTTATGTTATGGTACTTACTGTACAATAGATGAGGGGTTAGGGCGGGGGTTTTAGGCAGGCAGATAGATGCCTGGAGATACTTGAATCACATATTTCTTTCCTAGGTCCTTATTAGGATATGATATCCAATGCCTCCCTTTTTTAGTCTTACTGTCATTTACCAGGTTGCAAGAAATCGGCTTCCCACCAATGCATCTTCTCTTCTGGAGCGAATGCCTCAGGTGGAAAAGAGCCATTTACTTCATACAGAGTCAGATGTCATTTCGTGCTTCTATCTAGTACCTCCTCCATCCTATTAATGTCGCAACTATCCAATTGATACCTTCTTCTGGTCACCTTTTCTGCAGAGGCGAGGCGCGTGAAGGCGGTGGATGTCGAACAGACCTCAGATGGATATACTGAAATGGCAGTGGATGGACCAACATTGCAGGGTTAGAATTCAAAAACACTCAAGTGCTACATTGGAACGATTTCAAAGACGCGGTGTCAGACCAAAACAATGCGAAAGCAATGGTGGACTCAGCCTATGCCGCATATTTCTCGTCACAGCGAACCCAGGATGAACACCAGGATGCAGGATCTCGAAAGCCGTCTCCCAACGGCAAAAAGGGCCATGCATATTACTAAAAGTAAAAATTATGTACAGAGTTATGTATATTTCCGTCTGACTTTCATTATCCAGTTCATCCAATCGTAAACTACAGCTGACAAAAGTGGATTGAAGGGAATCAAGAAAATAGCAAAATAGAGCACCAAAGGCAACCCGAAAAACGAAGAATTTGATTGATCAAAATCATCAAATTCCCCTGAGCTTTGTTACCCAGGGAAAAACAACGTATCAGACGTCAGTCAAAGTAAGGGAAAACGAAAAATGAAATCAAAACCCACCCCGCCACTTAATTATTCCCTCCGTCAAATCTAAACTGTCGCCCTCACTACTGCGTCGCATTCGTAATCGGAGACACGCACGGAGGCGGATAGCAAGGACCAGCATCCAGCTCTACAAGGTTGCCCGCTCCCTCACCGCTCAGTTCCTGCGGTGCGTTTTCCGGAATACCCGCCGGCTTATTATTCGACTCCATCACGCCATTAATATTCCCACCACCTTGCTTATCCCAGCCCCACGGTGGTGGGGAGGAAGAGGGACTAAACCCAGTGCTTAAATGCTTGTTAAGCGGCGTATTCTCCGCACTGATATAGCTCATATGGCCCCCCTGCGAACTCACGACAGTTCCTCCCATCTCACTCGGCGGCACACCGCCGGCCTCGCTCTTTGCGCCCGACGACCAACCCCCAAGCCCACCGCCAGACGATAACGCCCATCGCCGTGTGCGGTCGACGCTGGTACCGTCTTCAGACTGCCGCCATTTGCGGTAGATTTCCAGGCGGCCTAGGAGGTAGAAGAGGGCACCGAGGATGGCGAGTCCGACTACGGCACCGACGACGATGCCAGCAATGGCGCCGCCGCTCAGGGAGCGGTGGGAGGAACTATCTTGGGGTGGGTTTGGGGAAGATCCTGGTTCTCCGCCTTCAGGTGGTGGATGCTCCCCTGGTTCCAGTTGGAAGGGCGCCCGCTTGGCTTTGTTGTGTTGCTTTTCCCAGGTCATAGTTTCATTCTATTGGGGCATTGAGGGATGGCCATGGCCAAGGATCGTTTTTGTCAGTTAAATGGGAACAGGGAATTAAAAGTCCATTCCTTTTCAAAGTGGAGAATAGGGGGTTCTACTTACCGGGTTAATCGCACCAACCATTCCGTTCGTCATGCATGAACCGATCCCACTACAATAGAAGAAAATCGGCTGGAGAATCCTGTTAGCGAGACATGGCACCTTTCATCTATTTTCTCATTCAGGCAGGGAATTGAGATGAAAGAGGAAAGAAAAAGATACATACCTCCTCAGTATCGACTGTCCAGGTCCATATTTCGGGCTAGGAGAGGGAAACAAAGTTAATTATGGCTGACCACGAAGAAGCTTAGGGGAAGGAAAGCATAAAAGACAAAGTAAGAAACAGAGCAAAACTTACTTTTGTATAGCTCGTTATTTTGAAATGCCCTGAAAAGAATACATCATGGTTTGCCGGCACACACGGGGCGTCAAAATCCGCCCTCACCACCGAATGGTTGGTCGGATAGAACTCGAACACAATTTCATCGCCTACGTTTGCCTCAACGCTATGGGGCACGTACCCGTGTGGACTTTGCTTTGGCGCAACTGAGAAAGTATGGGTTGCTCGGCCTGTCCTTGTTGATGATGAAGATGTCGTCGTTGATGAGGATTCTGTCTCTGCTGTTGGTGGCCGTTGGATTGGGGCCCCCAACCCAGCGGTTGGAGTCGGTGATTCGCTCATGATGCTCGGTATTTTATTATTCCTGACTGCTTGGGATTTTTGATATATATATATATATATATATATAATATAATGGCCGCAGCGACGATAGTAAAACTGAGATTCAGTGAATCAAACTTGCAAGTCAACCAGGCACAACCATGAAGTTACCAGTAACATAGAAAAAAGATGAAAAGTAACAACGGGGGGAGGAAAGAATGAAGAACGCTGGGACAAAAATAGTAACAGGAAGAGAGCAGAGAGGGGTTGCACTGCTGAGTCTGGATGTTGGTCCGTTGTTGAGCTTTATTGGATGCGTCGTTGTTGGCTCTGCGCTGGAATGGGCTTGATCATCCCATTATTTGCGCTAGATATCAATGCAGTGCATTCTTGTCCCTGGCTTCTTAGCCGGGCGCCTTTCCTTTTCTGATCATTTTTGTTGTCCCTGAATCATAACTTAGAGCGGGAGAAGTAACTCCGGATGAGCTACGGCGTACCAGGGTAACATTTTTCTTCTGTATGCATTCCGTGATTTGTCGTATTCAGTTCTATGGGATTTTTCTCTCGCTCCCAACTCCACCCAGTGGCTGGCCAGCTAGTAGGGGTCCTGGGCGGTGAGAAACGGGGTTCCTTTGTTCGAGAGCTTTGAAGAAATCCCCATCGCTGTTTTCATATAGAATAACCGAAGAAGAAATCACGCTTCAAGTACTCTGTCTCTTTGATGATGGGGGACATATTTTCTCACCATCGTTGGCATTTCCTCTCCAGGGCGAAAATTGAGTGATTTGATCGATTGATTTGATCAACATCGACTCCTTTAAGATCTGCACCCACGTCGTTATGTTTCGTTTAAACAACCAACAATTGTCGTAGCTGTCACAGCGTCTATTGGGCCGGTGAACAACGGCACCGGCAAATGCTCATGCATAAAGCAGCCAAACATAATACATCCCGCTTGCAAGGGTCCGACGCTTGCTGTCGTAGCTCGGGCAAGGCATGATTGGTCTGATCACATTCTCTCTTTCTCCGTTTCCCCTCAACCGTGAGAACCGCAGCCTTGCGGAAGGATAAATTACGTTAGCAATGACAAAGTAAGAGATTGTGAGGAAGGGTGTTAGAGGTGCTTACCTTGCTCAATAATAATGAATTCTCGGGCTTGTCAACTTCAGGGAAGTCATCGTTTTCGAAGGGAGGACAAATCCCAATTATTGATGCCACTGGAACGGGGGAGGAAGGAGATGAAAATGTGACACAAGCATATTTATTTGTATTTACGTGGCTTTAGTGCTGCAGTTTCCCCTCTTCTTGCCGCGATTCCAACTTGTTTGCTTTTTCCTCTTGACGTTGAATCCTTGACTTTAGAAAAACACACAAGTTTGTGGTTCTCCTCCTCTCTCCAGAGCATCATATCATATGCTAGCTTTCAGCCCTGCCCCATATAACGCTCTCAGCCTTGTTAAGAGAGGACAAAAAACTAAGAGGCAAATTCTCCACTTGTGACTGTAAGCGCCCTCTAGACCATCATTGAGGGCTTTGTAGCTAGTTAGCGCAGTCTAATTATATCGTTAACCCTCCGCTCCTGGCAACAATTAGTTAGCGTCGTCGGGAGCCAGGATAGAGCCATACCGGAAAAACGTAGGCTTATTATACAACTGGGTTAGGTTGTGTAGAATAGTTGAAGGTTGTATTGATAGATCTATCTACAATTATCTCAGCGGGCTCAGACCTCTGGCTCGGTTTGAACAGGTTTGCAGACTAATCCGGCATGACACTAACCTACTTTTGATACAAGTCATGTGCTCAGAGCAATCCTCGCCAGAGGGTCTGAGAAGAAATGGTTCCATCTTCAATGGAGATTCCTGAGATTTACAAGGATTTTTCAGATTCTTTAACTTTGACTTTCTATTACTATATACTCATATATCTTTGAGATTTGAAAATCACCTTAGCTTATAGCTAAAGAGAAGAAGAATAGAAATATTTCTTTAATATTTCAAAAAAATCTATATTTAAGATAGATGTATACTCTTGAAAATGATCATATTTTTTGATCTCAGAATTTCTAAGAGCTTTTTTTTGTATGAGAAATTAGATCAAAATTCCTGTATTTAAAAACACACTAATCAACTTTGAGGTGATACTTCTATTCTAAGAACTTGAGATATGAATATAAAAATCAGATACATCACAAGAACATTGTTATTCTAAGATTTCAAGATAATACAGAAATGATGAATCTATGAAGTTGAGTTGAAATTCTCTTTCATACTCAGAGTACTGAGTAAATTCTTCTCATGTTACTAATAATCAGAAATCATTTCTTCTCAGACACTTTGTAAGATATTATCACTCACATAACCTGATTTTACTATTTGAGTTAGCTTATTACTTATTTGAGATTAGCTCATGACATAATCATCAATTCAGTGTTAAAATAGCAATGAATAGATATCTGAAGAAGCATCTGAGCTTGCTGAGATAAATTTACAAGAACATAATATAGTGATGAGTTATGTAATCTAGTGAGATTGCTAACCGCAACAGCTGTAAGAGTTAACACCCTCTCTCAAGATAATAAGAATCACATACAAAAACACTCAAATCATCAAGATAGTCTGTCAAAATCAAATACAAATGTAAAATTAAACATTCTCAACTTTTACACCGGTAAGACCTAGTAAAATCATGAATTATATAAATATCACAGTGTTTAGAGATTTAATGAGTTTATCTACTATTATCTGAGTGATGAGAATATATTCTAAATTAATAACTCTCTGATTCAACTGTTAACATGAAAAATGAAAATGTATATTAATATGCTTACTTCAGACTGTAATGACTATCATCTTTATAAGATCTATAGTACTCTTATTATCAGTGAGAATCTGTATCAGAGATGTAATGATAAAGTCAAGCTTAATTATGAGATTTCAGATTTATATTATCTTGTGAACTGTCTTACTAAGAGTCATATATTCAGTCTCATTGAAACTTAGAGATATATAAGATTGCTTCACTGAATACTATGAAATCAGACTATCTATAAGCTTAAAAACATAGCTGAATGTTAATTTTCTATTATTATTCAAGAGACTGACTCAATCAGAATCTGAGTAGCTGAAGAGTAGATAGAAATTATGAGAGAAATCAGAAGTAACAGAGAAATCAGTAGAAATAGTAGAAACAGTAGAAATGAATCTCTTATATAAGCTGTGTCTGTAGAAAATATTCAGATTTATAATCTCTTTTAAATAATATATAATATGTAACAGAGCCTTTCAATATTGAGATATTAAATCAATATTTTATTAAGTGAGTAGTAAGACAGTATAAGTGATATTAGAACATGTTTTAACTGTAAGATATTATAAATAACTTATATTATATTAATATCACTGAATTGTGAAATCAGTCTCTTTCTCAGATATAGAGAATTTATTAATACAGAATTTATTCTTTATTAATATTCTGATAATAGCTGTATCATTAAGATAGAAATCTTTAATAAGATATTTAATATATTAATAATATATTAAATTAATTCTCTTATCTGAATAATTGATCTTTATACTTAAATACTTAGTTGACTAATATAGATTCTTGACTTTTAATTTCTCACTGAGTATACTCACTAGTTAATCAGCATTCTCAGAAACTTCAGATATAATGTTAAGATTGTTAATATAGATTATTATATAGAGATAATATCTGAATATACAATATCAGAGTATCAGATTATAAGTACTAACTATAAATTCAAGATTACTTAATAGAGCTATTAAGTAATCATATCAGATCTTCACTGCAGAGTTCAGACTGTATAAACTATTCTCAATTATATAGATAAGTGTTTTCAGTGAATCTGTCTTAAATTCAGTAAATTATCTTATATAGATCTTCTTAGTGAGACACTTATACAGATATATTATTACTATATTTACTTAACAGAGTGTTCAACTGTGTAGTGCTGCTATTATAAAAAGAATACAATTGATAGTATTAGTAATAATAGAAGTGTAGATCTCTTCTCTAGAATTCTTCTTAAATTAGTTATTATAAATCACTCAATATAATTTTTTAAGAATATTATCAGAATCAGTATTTAAGTTCACAGATCTATCTTTCTTAAGAAATACTCAACAGTTTGAAGTAATCAGTTCATCTCTCAGAATATCAGATCTAGAGATTAAACTTCATATATTATATCTCTTCAGATTGATAATCTTATATTATATGAACTTCTTTTAATAATCTTCTATCTCTTCTAACTGAGATGTGATATTCTTATAGAACTTCAAGAGATTATCTGTAATAAGACTTGAAGTGTAAGTAGTCAGTGATTTCACAGGCTGCAATTATGTGAAATTCAAATTATTAATATCAGAAGTGTCTTCATTATCAATCAGATAAATATCAGGTTTCAGTTTATTAACATTATTAATAAGTATCACAGATGTGATAACTGATTCAATAACATAATTAATAGGTTTTACAGATGTAATAATTAGTTTTTCAGTGATTAGAAATCTCACATCACTACTGATAATAATCTTATCAGATTCAGAATGTTATAGATAATATATTAAAGTGCCACTGAATTCAATGATATGATAGAAATTGATATATGAAGAGAGCTTATTCACAGATCTCTGAGATTCATATAAGTGAATAAAAACCTCTGCACTTAATCAGTGAAAATGTCTTATATTCAGTGAGATATTTATAAGTGCATATCAAGAAATCTTATATAAACTTGAAATCACAGAGATCTCTGCAGTAGAGAATCAAAATTTCAAGTTGTAAAGAACTGTAGATATAAGAGTATTATTAATTATTATAATCACTGTCTCTAGAACATCTGCTCAGAACTTCTTAAAGAGATTATCTTTTAAAAGAGCAGCTCTAATCTGTCTCATGATAGTACAGATTTCACATTCAGAAATGCTATTCTAATGTAATAAATATGATGCTGTTGATTCTCATTTAATATTATATAAATTTATAACTGTGTGTATATATGTGAATCAGAAAACATTATCAATATCAGTCTGTAGAAAAGCAGAAACTGAGCCACAACTCAAAGTATTGAACAGTCTTATTCTTAAACTTTAAAAAATATACTCAACAGTAGTAAGTTACATTACAGATGATAAGTATTCAGTATTTAATTCTCTGACAGAACTCTAAGAGATGATCAGAGAGATCTTTCAATGTACATCTATTATCTACAAGATCAATATGAATCTTCTCAATAAGTCAAATAGATCTAGATATCAGTGTTTTTAAATAATCTCATGTCATATCTGTCTTGACATATTCTTTGTAAAAGAACTTAGTCTTAGAATCTTTAATAGTGACTTCAGTATGAGAATTCTTGATCATAGTAATTATAGCATTAGTATGAATATGACTGAGATTATAATATCAATTCAAAAGAGTCTTTGATATCTTTGATATCTGTGTTCTCATGTCTGCAGAATCAACATTATTAATAGTAGTAGCAGCAGTTATGAAAAGATTAACTTTTCAGTTAAAATCATACTCATGTGACATTGCAATATACTTGACTGCCTTGTTCAGATAATTGAGATTCTTATTAAACTTCTATTCATCAATCTTATATATGTTGTTCTGAGCAGTTTGAACTGTATGAAAAATAACACTATTCAGAGCTCTGCAAATGAAAAATAAGAGAATAGTGAAAGATAATGTAAATTGAAATCTCTGATCTTCAAGCTTTGTAAATGAGAGTAGATTAACTGTAATATTAGAGATATAGTGAACATTCTGCAAGTTAATATCATCACTCTCAATCTTTAAGATAATAGTTTTAATCTTCTTGATAAACTCAGTTTCTTCAGTGATAGAATCAACAGAGATGTTATTATTAAAAGATTTGATATTTAAGAAAGAATGAAGCTTACTCATCATATTCAGACTTGTACATGTGTTTAAATATCAAGATCTAGAGAATGATTTTTCAGTGACTGTGAAAGAGAAATAGAACTCAATCTTTGTAATTACTGTATTTACTGCTGATTAAGAACTTATCAAGTTATTCTTCTTCTCTTTCTTCTTATCATTCTTCTTTTTCTTTTTATCAGAGTGTAAGATAAAACATCTGTCAACAGTATATTCATATCTTCTGCAGTGAGTGTACTTTCATACAGATATGCTTTTATTCTCATCTTTATTCTTATCTTTGTTCTTTTTCACAGTTACAGAATCAGTCTGAGACTGCTTTTTTCACTCAGTGATAATCTTCTTAAATGTATGATTGATCAGTTACTTTATCAAATTATTAATATTAATGTTGACAATGAGTTTCTGATCAGTGAAGAAAAACTCATTCAAATGTATTTTAATAAACAGTCTTTGATAATCTTGTAGATTGTTGAGAAAAAGATCATGATATACATTCTCAGTACTCTGACAGAGCTTCTTATAACAGATAATAAGATAGTGAAAATATCTCTAGAAAGTAAGATAATCATTCTTCTTAACTTGTAATTTTATCAATTTCTTGAAGATATTAACTCATTCTTCTATCAGTGATATCACATATTCAACATTGATCTT